TGCTTTGTGCTCCCCCCCCCCCCCCCGCCCCTTTCTTAGTGCCTTCAGAGCAGCATTATGCTGCTGTAATACTCTTGAGTGTTTTACAGTACAATAATCTTGGTCAGGAAATGGGGAGAAGTATTCCTAGGAAGAAGCCTGATTCTTCTGTTTTTCAAACAGATGGGGGGAAAAAAAAAAATCACAGTTGCTCCAAGAGGCATATGATCATAAACTCTTTGTTGCTCTTTTCCATGTTTGAAATTTTGTGCATTCAGTGAGGAAAAGGAATGCTTTTTGATTAGTCAGCGTATGTATTTGGTGGAAAAGGAAACAGATGTAAAAGAGAATTTGACAAGAGGTGATCCTTTGGTATTCAGGTGACCTGAAGAGCTGAAATTCCTTCCATATTCAGATTTTTGTATCTACTGACTGCTGCCTAATTATGTAATTATCAAGAATTTTATTCTTTCAAGTAAAGTATTAAAAAGTCATTAGCATTTTTGGTGTATCCCACTGATAACTTTTTTTTTTTTAAATATCTAGTACAAAGAAATTATCTGGGGGGGAGCAAACTGGGATTTGTATCACCAGCATTGTAGATAGCTAAAATAAAATTCTGCTTCAAAGGTTGTTTGAGGGTTTTTGTTTGGTTTTGGGGGCGTGGGTTTTTTTTTTTTATTGTATGATATCATACAAAATTTCATATACAGCTACTTGCTTTAACGTCCAATACTTAAAAGGACTTTAAGAGTAAATCCATAAATTTTTGTTGTCCCCTTAAGGAACATGTACAGTCACATACAAACGTTAAGGTTTATTTGAAAAATTTGAAGATAAATAAAATTTTGTACAAATGATAATGAATTTGACTAGTTTAGGAGCCTGCATACTTAAATAAATTAGTCTCATAAATTTTATCATGGCAGTGTATCTTCAGCATAATTCTATTCAGCTAATTATTTGTCTTAACATACTGAACTGTGACACCATGAATTAACATTTTTGAGTAAGAGACATTGCTCAGGTGTATGAAACACAAACTATGCTTTTGTTCTCTTGTAATATCGTGATCTTAAAATGACAGGAAGATGTTAGAAAGATACTGATATTATACTTGTCTGTCCTCTAAGTGTGCTTAGTGAGGAAAGCTTAGAGTTACAGTGCAGTCTGAAGTCTAAGTGGTTGGGAAGATTGAACCCTTATATTACCAATATTTTAATATATTCTTTCTAGGGATGATGTGGAAAAGGCTAAGTCATCAGGAGATTGGAAAGCTGTACATGATTTTTATTCTACAACATTTGATTCTTTCCTGGAGATAAATGCTGCATTTAAGGTAGAAAATAATTCATAATGCTATTTAGTATTTACATTGCTTTGTATCTTCAAAGTGTTTACAAATACATCAGTTAAAGGCTTGCAGATAGTTACTTAAGGCCACTAAGATTGTTTTGTCCTCTTCTCACCTGCCTTTGGTAGACAATCTGTTATTACATTCATTTATTGATTCCAGTTTAAGCATCTATATTTCAAGTGTATGTGGAGCTTTAAAATTCCAGTATGTAGTTTGTTTTGTGACACTGTGACTGTGTAGATACTTTCTACACAAGCTACAGTGTAAAAACATGCAAGCTAATGCAGCTAATGTGGAGGCCCAGGCAAATCTGGAAACAGAAATTCCTTGTCCCTAAAAAAACGTGTGATAATGGGCTCAAGCAGTATAGCTGTTGTTGTGTTGTGATGTCCTACTCTGTTTTCCTTGGCAAAGATAATATTCATGTGTAAAAACTTTCTGAATTCATGCTAAATTAATATTTCCTGCCTCTAACAGAGCAAAATGTGCTTATGATATTTAATGTGGACAGTAGGGCCTGCACCTAGACAAAGCAACCTGTGACTTTTAGTTACTTAACGAATACTGAATGCTTATAATTTTGTTGCTCTTGTCTGATGATGGACCGACAGCAAAGATGAAAGCTGGAAATTCGATGTAACTCATTATTTGAAACACTCTTACATTTTTAAAATAGAATGACAATGTAATGGAGTTACATGAATATTGCCATTGTATAAGATTAATATTGTTTAGCTTCATCTTTCACATATTAATAAAAGCAACTTAAATTCTTATGTTTTGATAAGGAAAATAAATAGTTATATCTCTATGTGTTTTGTTTAAACTTGCTGTTAAATTTTTATTTTCAAAGACAGCTAAAATATTCAAAACATTTCAAAACCAAAACGCTTCATGTATTATCTAACTTACAGAAAGATACCTATTCTCCATTTAATACCATTGAGGACTCTGGAATCAATGCAAAATTTGTGAATGTTGTCTATGATGCCTTATTAAATACTGTAAGTAGAAGAAAAGAATTCATGTTTTAAAACATTGTAACAATTATTTCAGCAAAGAAATATGCTAAGAAGCAATTTATGCCAAAAGTTTTCCTCAGATAGGCACGATTTTTGAAGAATCTCTCAAAACATACTTAAAATAGTCCCATGAGAATTGCCATAGAATCATGAAAACTGATCTAGTAAAAGAGGAGGAAATTTTTGCTACTAGTAATGCACAGTTTATACTGTGGTAGATCTCAAAGACCACTTGCAAGATATGACATGACTGTGATAGGACACTGCATGGTGGGCAATAAGGAAAATGTGAGGATGGGGATAGCCAAAAGTAGGTACTGTGCCTAGAAAACAAAGGACGGGAGTAATTTAGAAAATTATACTTAGAGTTTTTAAGTTGTTTAAAGCGTTGAAAGCCACTGTTGGCACAATGCCAGGCCTCAGCTAATAGTCCGCGAGGAAAGATACTTAGGAGCCCAGCATCACGACACCAAGAATGCTTAGCTGGCTTGAATCACAAGCAAAACAAACTTGCTTGTTTGTACAATATCTTGTATAGAATATGTATCATTACATCAGATATGATTTTTCCTCTCCTTTTTCTGTAGCCTCAAGATGTTCAGAAGTCAGTCCTAAAAGGAATAATTAATGGTCTGCTACAAGAATGGAAAGGGTAATTATAACAAATCTTTGCATTAGTGCTGTGCCAGCACTTACAACTGCTATACTTTTTGTCTTTATTGTTTTAGCCAAAGAAAGAAAATGTTCTGATACAACTTATTTGACTCATAAGAACTTGTCTCTGTTTGGCAGGCAAATCTGCTGAAATATGTCTTCAACTCTGTAAGCTGACATTGAACCTCTGAGAGGCAGACCCAGACCCAGCCATACATTCCCCCACAAAATTGCAGCTGCTTGTTGCCAGGGCAATCTTTCGGGCATCTGAACTGTGAGATGAATGAAGGAATTTTTCTAGATAAAACATATTCTCCCTGCACATCCCCCAACAGCAACTAACATGTTTTAGCCTAGATAATTCCTCGATCCAAAGTTTACTTCACAATGACGTTCGTGTGTGGCAATGGCATAGAAAGGGCAGTGCAGGATGCAGAAAGGGATAGCCCAAAGGCAGGAGGTTTGCAGATGACATTTTAGCAAGAAGTAATAGAAGTGAGAATGCATAGTTTGATTCACAAAAAGGTAGAGCAAGAGACAGTGCCTTGTTGTGACTCACCTGAGACCCAGCCCTTGGCTAGTCCCTTCTCCACCTTATACTACCTTTTCTGTGCTGTTGCTGCATGTGTGTTTGTGGTCATGTAAAAGCCTTGAAGCAGATAAACAGCAAGTACAGAGGCTGCAGTTGTAGAAGTTTGTGGAGAATTCTGGCAGGAAATATCTAAGATTGGGCAAATAAACTCTTCTGTGGTGTCACCTGAGATAGACAACAGCATGGACTTCTCTCTTTGGAACACCTCTTACTCTTCAATGCTGACTTTTTTTTTTATTTTTCCTTCTCTCTTGTTTTATACCGCAAAAGACAGATGCTACTGCCTTTAGAGAGTAGTCAGAATCTTTAAGTGTCCTTTTCAATTTCCAAGAGCAGTGAAGATCCTTAAATATGGTATTCAACACGTATTGGCAAAGCAAAGTTAAATCGTAGGGTGCATGCTTTCATGACTCTTAATGTGTATATATGATGTATACATATGGTTCTGCTTATTATTTCATTCATTCATAGGCCACGAACAAAAGATGATCTTAGAGCATACTGTATACTTTTACAGGTAAGAAAAATACAGTATTTTTATTTAAGTATATGTCTGCTTAACTTATAATCTATAAACCAGTATACTATGCAAACAAGATACTTTGTATAGCTGAGATACTTCACATTTCATTTCCTATTATAAGAATGTTTTAAAATACGGGAGAAGTGTAGGGTATGCACGGTGGGAATGGGAGCTTAATGGAAGATAGTTGATGGGGAAAGGTTGCATAGATTAAAACTATGAACTAACAGTTAGACAAGTAATTGTTTCCTAATTTTGTGGGTTGAAAGAACAAATGTTTTAGCAGGTTATTTGTTCTTATTTCTTCCTTATTCCCAGATTTGCTTTATTGGTATGCTATAACTCTCATCTTTCCAGAAAGTTTCAGTATATGCACTTTTTGATATTGCTGTAACTTTCTGCAGTGTTGCATTTTATCCAGCAGACTCTCTCCAGTCTATCTGACAGGCTACATTGTCTGATTTCTGTCTGTGTTAACCTCTTACCTTTGTAGTTGATTTGCATTTGTAGCAAATTCCCCCTGTAAATTTTGCCAGTGTAGATAACACCTCTCCACACAAGGAGAGGTTTCTGCTGTTATTTGAGGAGATCAGATGGTAATTTAATTTTTTGAGACAATAGTTTTCTTCTCTGGGGTGGTATACTAGCTGTGAATTAGAAATAA